TTATGGAACTTCAGTTTGATACTTTAAGTGATAAATACAGTCAATAAATCAATCTATCTATGTCTTGCAACAGAGAAGAAATTTTCCAATTAAGGTTTGTGAAGAAAATGAGAAAAGCAAAGTGGATCACTTTTTATATTTCCCTTTTCGTGTATTAGAAAATTTTATTATTGACAAAGACCATACTAAGATAATGCTGAGATGACATAAAAGAAATATTAATATCAGTCCATATTTATTCTTGCAGTGATGACAAAAAATATATCAATGTATTTACTTCATATCCTTATATGTTCTTTATAACGAATGAACTTTTTGTGTCACTTAATAGTCATATGATATTGATGTATCTTTTTCTTTTATATGAGAGAAAGTAAAATGTATTGACCAACTTTTCTGGACATCATTTGCATTTCATATAAGTTGTGTCAGTATTAGCTTATCAAAGAAAACATAAGGCTTAGCATTTTTTCGATTTTTTCGTTAATTGTTAGGTGGTTAAATCTTAATGATAGGAAGATCCTATACTGTTTTGATAAAATATTATATTTGATGTATCTTTAGATTGTAGTAACAGTGTTTTGCTATAAAAGGCCATAACTTGACTCTTGAGTATAGTATTTTTCGAGTAGTTTATTTGTGGAGATCGCACACATCTCTTTATGTCGTGATATTTTTCACTTCTTGCTATCATTTAATATTTTCTATCTCTAAATATTTGACTTCTTATTCTCTACATGGAATAGGACAAGAAGTTGTTTGAAGAACACATAGTAGCAGATGTATGAATGCAATATACAAAATATTTGCCATACTTTATGTGGCTCTTAGTTGGACTATGTTATCTCTTTTGTTTATAGTACAAACACGGATAGCAACTGATATATTTAGTTGATCACGTAGCATAAGATAGTGGGTAGAAAACGATGAAGAAATAAGGCGTACGCTTGAGTTTGATTTTGTAAGTATATTTAAAGGAAGTGGAAGAAAAGGAAATATTTGCTCAATTTTGATAAATCTAGGGAAGCAATATATATTGTTCTATATTTGTCACTATTTTCCAAGGTTGGAAGTGTGTTTCTATGTTTGTGAACTTATGTCCAATTCTAAACAGGGACATCCCTTCTTTAAAGCAGGTAAAACAATTTTTTAGGCCCCATATTTGTGGGGGTCTTATTTTTTATTACACCTAAAAACGTTGTGAAATGAAAATGTTTGATTCTTTCTTTAACAAATATAGAGAAGAAAGATTAGCAATTGCTATGATTTATGTCAAGGAAATTGCATTTGAAATGAATATCGAACGCAAATTTCGTAAACGTGTGATATGTAGGAAGAAATAATTTGATGAAAATGTTGATAATGAAATTTCAAAATCTCTCGAAGAGTCCTTTAGAGTTGATTACTTTTTATACATAGTAGATTAGGCTAATTTTTTATATTACTACAAATTTGAACAATTTGAAGCATATAAAAATATTTTTGGTTTTCTATTTAGCGGTAAAAAACTAAGATCACTAGATGATAGAAATTTAAAAAAATATTGTCTTAATCTTGAATGTTCCTTAAAGCATAATAATCAATCAGATATTTATGGTTTAGATTTATTTTATAAATTAGAAGTGTTAAGAAAAATAGTACAATTAGAAGATAATAGTTTAATTGATATACTCAATCAAATAAAAAGATTTGATTCTTTTTCAAATGTTTATATTGCTTATAAAATAATGTTAATTGCTTTTGTTACCGTTGCTTCAACGGAAAGAAGTTTTTCAAAATTAAAAATTATTCTTACCTAAGATCAACAATGTCTCAAGAGAGGTTAAATGAATTAGTTATATTGTCAATTGAGAAACACTCTTTATTATAAATTGATTATAAGAATATTATTAATAACTTTGCAGCTAAAAAAAGCTAGAAAAATAGAGTTCACATAAAAAAAATTAAAAAAGTTAAGGCTATCATAAAGTTTGGCTTTAGGCCACTAAAATCATTGGGTTGCCCTGATTCTAAACCTTTATAGTTTTGTAGGTTCGCTATGTGAATGCGATATTAGACAAGAACAAAACGGGATCAGAATTCAAAATGTTGGGCCCGTGCTTATCTAGTTTAAGTAAATAAAAATGTGTGAGTCACCCAAAAGGGGTGAGATCTGTGAATATTATTTCTGACAATGAATAATGATTGATGATCTTTAAAACACTCAGGTTGTTCTTTGATCGGGTGAAAATTTTAGACAAGAATCTTAGTAAAAAGGTTATTTTGTATGCTTGTATTATGATCAAACTCTCTCTATAATGTCAATGTGTTTTCTTACAAATGAATACCTAATACCATCTATCATTGTGTCTCTTTCTATTTATAGGGAATATATTCCTAAAAACCCTAATAGTACAGGTGCTCGACCTTGTCCACTAGAATATTCTCTTAAGTGTCCTATCTTGAAACTAGCCGTTATAACTATGTCTAGGATGCTTGACTTTGACCTTTATCTACGACGACTTCTCGACCTTGATCCTTACTGACTCTTCGACCGTGACCTTCATCATTTCTAGAACCACTTTAACCTTGGACAGGTCTTCGTTGAAGTCTATTGGTAATACATAGTAGTCTGCTAATTCCTCCTTAATGTTAATATAGTTTGATCATATTAGAGATAATTGTTGACCTATACAATACTTGTAAAAAGGGTCCACAAATAGAAATCCCGAAAGCAAGGCTAATCACCAAAGTGTTACCCCCAAAAACCAAACCAGTGCCCTCCAGTTACAAACTAAAAAAAATAACTATAAAGCCAAATAAACTCCAAAGGAGTATCATACAGTACTCAAAAGAGGAAGCGCCTCATCCCATTTTCAAAAGAAAAAAGTACTCTCTTTATCAATTGTGGCGATAATACTACGAAAGTTGGCCCATATTTTAACTTCTTGCCCAGTTTAAAGTCAAACCTCTTTATAATAGTCTTATTTATTCTGATATTTTTGACTTTTATAGCGAATAATTTATACACTATAACAACATTTAACGTTTAAATATTTTTTGGCTATTATAAATAAAACGTATCCAAAAATCAATTATTTTTCTTCTTTTAATGTTACATATAAAAGATAAAAAAAAATCAAATTTAAAATCTCAGAAGATATGCATATTTCACTAGGTATATATTGAACAAAGCTAATACATTATTAAGAAATTTATAGCTAAACATATAAAGATTTGAACTCTTAAGGCACCATTTTAAAGGTACTAGGAACATAAATTTTCAAGATTGATGGAAGAACTTTGTAGTTGTAGCTATTTTATAGATTTCATTATCTTACTATGTTTATAACACTTGAATTGGCGAAAATTCGTGTCTAAGTTTTATAGATTTCTCTTATTATGTCTTATGAAAGATAAAAACTTTGTTCAATGGGAAAGATTCTGTGCATATTTTTAGAATTATTATTACTCCCTCCGTTCCAATTTATGTGAACATGTTTGACTGGGCACGGAGTTTAAGAAAAAAAGAAGACTTTTGGAATTTGTGGTCCTAAACAAGTCAAAAAGGGACTCAGAGTATTTGTGTAGTTATAAAAGCTTCTCATTAAGCTAAACTGTTTCCAAATTTAAAAAGGGGTCATTCTTTTCGGAACAGACCAAAAAGGAAATAGGTTCACATAAACTGGAACGGAGGGAGTAGTAATCTTAAAGATTCGCTATAGCTGTTATAGAAGGATAATTTACAAAGATCATTATGTTATAAATATGGTTATTGTTGTTATAGGTAAAAAGCTATTATAGAGGTAAAATATAACTTAAAAAATTGGGTCTAAGGAAAACTTGGCTTCTATAGTGAAAGGTTGTTAAATAGGGATGTTATTATAGAGGGGTCTGTAACTTAAAATACTTTTTTTATTCCTTATCCCAACACTAAAAGCCTACTTCTAATGTTTTTTTCTTTTCTTTCTTCTTCTCCTTCAAACAAAAAACAAACATTAACGTGTATTTCAGTAATTGTTGACTCCAAATAATCACACAAGTACTGTAGCCTCAATTACCCAATCGTATTCAAAAATCAAAATGATACAGAAGAATAGGGGTATGTCGTTGTAGTATTAATACTAGAAGTCTAGAAGCTATTATATTTATATATCATGATTATCTTTATACTCATCTTTCCAATTGAATTGAAGCGAGCAAAATTCTAAACTATTGCCCACAAAAAATAAATTTAACTTATGAGTAATTAAGTTTTCATTACACCAATAACGTTCTATATTTGTCTTGATTGGTGACAAATCCCCCGATCGGGCATTGTTACTCCCAAACGCGCACGCAAGTGTATGTGGTAGACAAGTAATATAGGATTGTAAGTCCAAATATTGTACCCAAAGAGACTTGTAATTAACTATCAACTAAATTAAACCCAAACAATTAAGCTATTCAAGCTAATCTTAAAGTATGAATAATTAACTTGTGAGCACCTAATTTTTGCCCTACATGAAAATAACTCCTAAGAATTAGACCAAAATAATTTTAATTGATTTTTAAGAGTTTTTATTTATTTAGATGCATTGCATACATTTTTAATATTTTAGAATCACAAAAAAAAAAAAATCATAAAAATTATCACGTTTTAATTTCATGTCATCTTAGGCTCAGTTTGTAGGAATTAATTTTATTAAGCAAAAAATCACATAAAATGATCGTTTTTACATATTTGGATTTTAGCCTTTAAAATTAGCATTTTTCCTTAGTTTTAAGTTAACTAGTTGTTTTAATGTTAAAAATAAATAGAGAATTTTTAATAGATTGATTTAGGATTTTAATTGATTTAAAAAAAGAAAGAAAAAAAACAAAGAAAAGGAAAATAGGAAGAACATATTTTTTTGGTCTTGTTTCTTTTAAAATTGGATCAATTCCTAAAGGCCCAAATTAATTTAAACCTCAACTCAATTCCAATACCACTACCCAAATATCCATTACCCTTTAACCTACCTCCTACATATAAGAATACATTTAGAAACCTAAAAGACACACACATTAGATCCCTACCTAAAAATTAGCCGCAATACAAAAAGGAGAACCCTCCTCTCTTGAAAAGAACAAGGCCTCATCCCTAATCCTCTAATCTTATTCTTCTCCAAACAGATAGCCACAAAACGTTACTGTGAAATAATCATATTCTCTTTGAATTTCTTTTTTTTATAGCTATGTAAACTCACCACAGCAACATCATCTTCCCCGTTGAGCATCACTTCATTTTTCCTTCATTATTAAAGCCATTTGCATCTCTAGAAGTTAAAAATCTCACTGCGAATTCGCTCTCCAAAAGCCACCATCCCTTTCTTTTATTCCATTAACACAGCTGAGTTTTTATCATCCTATTACCACAAGACCCAGCAGGAAACAAAAAAAAAAAGAAATTCGAGATCAGGGTCTATAGTTCCGTCTGAGGTTTTGGTGCGATTCATGTGTGCTGATTTTACTTCACATCGAAGGTCCTTGTGATTTTTCTCTGTGTAAGTTGTCGAAGCTCTAATTGGAGTTGTCTTGTTGTGATTGTTGTTTGTTGTGGACGGAAATTGTTACTGAGTTTCGTGTCGCTTTTCCTTCGTTTCTTTTAAAATACACGGTAGGTGCACTTTTAATTTTCTGTTGCTAGTTTCGAATGAATAAAATACTGATTTGATTTGGCACCAGTTTTTCCATGCCATTTTATTAAATTTGTTGGTTTACTTTGGACAAGTAAATGAAAATTTTTATTATCATTTGAAACTATAGGAATTTGGTAATTGAGAAAAGAGGACTTTAACGATTTTGATCTCATTTCACGACGATTCTATTTTGATGTTAGTAGGACTGTTCTTTTTTTTTTACTGTTATTGGTTCTTTAATGTTGTTGTGTTTCATTATTCACCGAGTTTCATGGAATGATATTGCTTTACTATATTTTATCTGTTTACCAAGTTTAATTTCCATTAAATGAAGTAATTGAAGGTTTACAAGTAAAAATAGATCTAATGGCTAAGAATATGTCCTTATGTTCTGTACGTTCTTAAAGGCATATATGCAAAGTTTTTTTTATGCATTTTGTCCCTTGGTCAAATTTGATTAGCAAGATTTGCTTTGGACGGGGCCTCTTAAAAAATATGCTCAAAAGCAATTCAATCTCGATAAGGACCCGAAGCAGTACAATAAGGCTAAACCTTCTCCTTAAATGTGAGCGCGCCTTCCCCCACCTTAATTTATTTAATTTCATTCACAATAATTTCAAAGTAGTTTAGGAAATAAATCTTTGAATATCCGTAGTTTGCTTTAGGCATGCTTTTAAACTATTACAACTACGGGTACGGTTCCCGTGACGTGGTTGTGATAATTAGTTTTTTTTAATTTAGATTAAAATAGCACCTTTAGTTTGCCTTTAAAATACATAAACGTTTTAAAAAAAAATAATTTGAGGTGTGTCATGCTTAAAACTCATAATACATGGCCCTCACAAATTTAGATCAAGAGCAAATCCTTTTAGAAAATAAGTGGAGGTGCGCCATATGCAAATAAAATCCATAACCTATGGCCCTCATATAAATACAAAATTAGTTTAGAAATGCCTTGAACCTTCGTAGTTTGCTTTAGGCGCGCTAATTAAATAATTATCATAGCTAGGGATACGGTTCCTGTGACGTAATTGTGACCCCTAATTACTAAAATCCGGGGGGTACATTTATGTGACACAGCCACAATTTAATCTTTAAAATTAAACATGTTGTAGATCGTGGGTGCGGTTCATGTGACGTGATTTGCAATATGTAACAATAATTATTAAAAGCGGCTAATCAGTTAAAATGCACCATAGGCTAAAACATGTAATAAATCGGATAACAGGCCAATTTTAATAGTTTAAGCGACCGTGCTAGAACCACGGAACCCGGGAATGCCTAACACCTTCTCCCGGGTTAACAGAATTCCTTATCTAGAATTTCTGGTTCGCAGAATTTAAAAAATAAAAGTCGAATTTTCCTCGATTTGGGACTTTAAAATAAACTTGTGACTTGGGATACCAATTAAACTATTCCAAGTGGAGACTCTGAATTAAAAAAATGATCCTATTTCAAATAATATCACTTTAATTGGAAAAACTCCCTTATACTCTCCCTCGAGTGGGTAAAATGAGGTGTGACAGATCTGGCGACTCTGTTGGGGATCAAAACCCAGAACTTCGATTCAGGGTTCAAGAATTCGAGCTTAGAATAATTGTTATGATTGACTTTTATTTATTATCTGATTTTTATGACATGTTTGGGCCTAATGTGCTAAATGTCGCTTTTACCGTTTTGATATTATTTGAACTATATATAAACTATTATGAAACCATTCTCTTCTCATCTTCGGAGATGTGCATGCTGGCGTGACTCCCCCTTCTGTTAGTGTCATACCTTGAATAAGAAAGAGGCTCGGACAAGTTACAAAGCCGGATGGCCTTTTGGTGCTCGATACGTAGTCCCCCTCCCCCGGCTCGAGTTGTCCGCTCGGGTAGACCAAGTCTAGAACAATATACCTAGGTTTTAAGCCTAGAATAACTCAGCCTCATGCCGGATCCCTAGTAGGAATGCTTGTTTGCATCACGTGCATTTGACCTTGGGGATTCAACATAGGGGTTGGGTCCGTCTAGGACATATGCACCCGAAATAAAAAGATCATCCTGATGCATCTTACGTGCTACTTGCGCATCTGTTTGTTTCGGCTTGCATATTGACCGGCTTCTAGAATAGAAAAAAGAAAGAGAAAAAGAAAACCAGAGTGTGTTTGGAAGAGAAAATTAAGCCCGGTTCTGAAAACCCAGGTATTTGAAAATGCCTCGAAAATCTGCCAAAAGTTTTGAAAAAAAAAGGAACAGAAAATGTATTTCAAAAAAAAATGAAAGTGAGTCAATATCATATTTTTCCAATTATGTCAAAACTGGCGAACTACGCGGGTCTGATTCTCACCGGATGTGAGATACGTAGGAAAACCTCATCGGTTGCGGCCCACAATTTTTTTAAAAAAATCCAAAAATATTTTTTATTACTTTCTTCTTTAGATAGTCTTTCTTTTAGACCCCAATTTTTTAAAAAACAATATACAAAAATATTTTCTTTTAATTTCTTCTCAAAATTCAAAAATATTTTTCATTCTTCTTTCAAAAATTTAAAAGAAAATTCAAGGTTCAAAAATATTTTCTTTTTCTTTAGAAGCATTTCTTTCATAAATTCAAAATAAAATTCCAAAAAAATCCAAAATATTTTTTTTTTCTTTAGAAGTTTTTCTTTCGAAATTCCAGAAAAAGTCAAAATTCAAAAAAAAAATCTTTCTTCTTTAGAAGTCTTCCTTTGCAAAAATGCTAAAGAAAAATCAAAATCCAAAAATATTCTCTTTCTTCTTTATATGTCTTTCTTTCGAAAAAATAAAATAAAAAATTCAAAATCCAAAAAAAAAGTTAGTTCATTTACTTTATTCCTGATCTTCCCGAACTACGAAAGACCTGATTCATGTTCCCACATGATACGTAGGCAACCCACATCAGGTTCGATCAACCGAAAAAATGAAAAAATGAAATGAAAATTTAAAAAAAAGGAAAAAAGAAAAAATGTTGGCAATAATAATGACTGACTGAGTCCATTCTAACGTGTGTTTTATTTTGAATTGTGAAGAAAGTTTGAGGTGGTTGGTTTGTGGTAAGCGGCCAACACAAGATCCAAGGAAAAATGATAACTGACATCGAAGCTGTTACAAGTGCTCAAGAGACTCAGGGTGCAGAGGGTTCAACAAGAGTCAATTGTGGTTGAAGAAAATAGAATATTGAAATAGCAAATGACCAAAATGTGTCAAGGGGCCAATGGCCAAGGACAGCCTTGTCATGAGTCACAATTTGCTACCCGGTAAGAGCAGTACCACTCTCCTGAGTAGCACTCGTACCTATTTGATTTTCCTGCAAAGATTGAGAAGCCTGCTTGAAAGATAGCACAGGAAGAAATGACCCAAAGAGTGAAAAGTTTATAACGACGGTTGAAAAACATGCAAGGGTTGGCAGGTCAGAAGAGTATTGTCTTCAAGGATCTATGTATGTTCTCCGATATCCACTTGCCCCCTGGTTTCAAGACTCCCAAATTTGAAAAGTATGATGGACATGGAGACCTCATAGCCCACCTGAAAAGGTATTGCAATCAACTAAGAGGTACGGGATGAAAGGAAGAATTACTGATGGCTTATTTTGGGGAAAGCCTTACGGGAGTAGCCTCCGAATGGTTTATGGATCAAAATACCTCTCACTGGCATGTCTGGGATGACATGGCTCGGGCCTTTGTCAAACAGTTCCAATACAACATTGACATTGCCCTAGACTGTAATTCCCTTTCGAACTTGAAGAAGAAACCAAGTGAACGTTTCAGGGAATATGCCATTAAATGGAGAGAGCAAGCAGCTAGAGTTAAGCCACCCATGGATGACCACGAGCTAATCAGTGTCTTTCTTCAAGCACAAGAGCCAGATTACTTTCAAAACATGATGTCCGTAGTTGGAAAATCTTTCTCGGAAGCAATTAAAAGGGGATAAATAGTAGAGAATGGTCTTAAGACAGGCAAAATTATAAGTCAAGCAGTTTTTAAAGCCGCAACTCAGGCTGTCCAGGTTGAATCTAATAATTTTAGTGACACGAATGAGATGGATGAAGAAATCATGATGACATCAGGGTCGAGAAGAGGTCCTAGGAGAGCATCTCGAAGGTATGACCAGCCTCGTCTGTTTTCCGATGATGCTCCTGAGCACTACTATCCATCTCAGAACTCACAATACTCTGTTGCTCCACCTCAGTATGTTGCCCAGCCACCAAAACACCCCATAAGGCAAGCACGAGCATCACAAAATCTCCACCAGCCTCCATAAAATTTCCAGGTGCCCTATAACCCCAATCCAAGCTAGGGGTATAGAGGGGAACAAAGGTTGAAAGATAATTTTATGCCAATAGGAGAGTCCTATGCAAGCTTATTTAAGAAGCTAAAGCATCATGACATGATTACACTCATTCCTCCCAATCATGTGTACCCACGTACAAGAAGCTTCGACCCTTCTAAAAGGTGTGAATACCATTCCAATGCCTAAGGGCGCAATGTAGAGAGCTGTCGGGATTTGAAAAGAGAAATAGAAAGGATAATCTAGAAAAAACTGATTATGATCCAAGACAGTGACACCCAGAATATCACGCAGAATCCTTTACCTGTACATGATGATGCACACTTTGTGGGGATGATGCCTGGTGACATGGAATATGAGAATCCTCTCGGGAACTTGCCGCCTGAAATTGGAGAAGTCCATGTTGATTCTGATGAGCAAATTTGTGGCTAAATGTCAAGCTTAGCAATTGAAAAGTCATTCTCTCCTCACTAGGAAGGAATCTTGGTAGTTTGCTTTGATGTTTTTTCTATTATCTGGGTTATTTCAGGGTTGTGATCTAGATTTTATTTGTTTTATTTAGTCAAACCTTTATATCCCTCTATTATGTTCGTGTGAGTCTTGTTTGCATGTTTTGTTGCTATTTTCATTCGCCGAGTTGTTTTAGGGCTGTAACTCGGATTTTAGGTTGTTTGTCTTATTGTCAAACCCTTTCAGCCTTTACTCAATGAAATAGAGTTTGTCCTTTTGTGTTATTCTGTTCTTAGTTCTTTTCTCGCTAGTTCTAATGACATGACATGCATGCGAAAATTTTGGCCAGATCTTAGAAACTGATTTAATCTAGAATTGGATAACCGAAAAAAAATACTTTTGAAGATGAATAAAGAGTTTGAATACTTTAGAATTAAGGTCAAGTAAAATTCACCTTCAAATCATTGTGAAGATCGGGCTTGAGGATATTTAATCAATTGAAGTTTGTTGGAAAGTTTGACATTAAGGGACGGAAAGTGTCTTGTGACAACCACACACCAAGAAGACAGACATGTTCGTCAATGAAGTGATTGCAAAAAGATACTATGTTTGGCGTTCTCGAGGCTGACAGTCCCTTTTTCTACTATCCAAACACTTTATACCCTTTGTCACTTCTTTGAGCCTATGTTATTTTCTTTGACCACCCTCTTTTGGAATAAATTTTAGAGTCAAAGAAAAAATGAATGAAAAAAAATGAAATAAAAGTCCATCTACCAAGAGTACAAACTGGAGTAATTCTTAGAAAGTTCAGGTGAAAAAAAATGAAGAAGAAAAGAACTGGCAAAGGTTCATGCCCCCAGAAAATAGAAGCGGGTGCAACTTGTTTAAAAAAACAAAAGGAAAAAAGGACAACGAAAAATAAAGAATGATGAAAAAAATAGTTAGGTCAGATGTTTAAACTACGTTCGACCTGATTCCTTAAAAAAGGATACGTAGGCAGACTCACGGTTCGGTCCAACCAAATAAGAATTCAAAAAAAAATCCAAAAATCCCCAATAGCTGAAAATGGGGCAAATATTTTATTTCACTTTTGAAAGAGTTGATTCCAAGAGTTGTAAGTCCACAACCCTTCATTTTGAGCCTACTTTGAGCCTTCATGCCGACCCTTCTATCCAACCCTATCCAAAAACCTTCCAAATAAAGACCTCCCGATATACCTTCAAGAATGCCAAGAGAAGCATGCAATGAGCAACTGTTGTCACGCGACATAGAACACTGTCAAGTTGCTCACAAAAAGAAGGGGAAAGAAAAAAAAGAAAAAAAAAATGAGAGAGTCTTATTAGTGAAAACCCTCACGGGCATTGTAAGGCGGCGGTAAGTAGAGATAAATAAATGAGAGAGATTTGTTGGTGAAAACCCCTCGGAGAACCACTAGTCGATAGTGAGTCGTGAAGTTGATGCAAATGATCGGCACGAACAAACCCGACTTCGAAGGTCATAAGAATAGTAAAAGGGAAGATTGGATTAGTTTGATAGATCAGGCCGTTGAGTCCAAAATGCATGTCATGACCATTAAGGTTAGTTATTGAAAAAAAAAATCTTCTTTTTGTCCTTCCAATAGGGGCATTTCTTGTGAACACTTGTTTCTTTGCATCATTCTGTCCTTCACTCTGAGTTAGTCCTTGTTAAAACAAGCAAGAAAAGATTTCAAAATCTGCTACCAGCTTTTTAGTTGCATAAAGTAAATTTGGTCAGCACTCAGTTGTTACTGTCAATATACCTTGAGGATTCATGCAAAGGCTTCCCAAAAAAAGACTCTTGTCAGCCTACTTGGCACAAACAAAGATGACTAGTGATTCTCTCTAACAGACAAATTGCTCAAAAGTAGGAAGTCATTCAAGATATCAGAAAAGGTCACCTAAGCAAAGATCTCCAGTTGGGATAAGGCTGTTTGAGGTGCAAATACAAATGGTACTGGGTGTGAAATAATCAGAGGTTGATGCAGAGCAAAAGTCTCTTGAGACCGACTCAAGCTGATTGAGCACAACACCAAGCTGCTCAAAACTCAAGGCCACAAACCGACCACCACTTTCAAAACTGACAAAATTTTCGTTGTTTGAAACAGGAACAAAGCAATGCAAGGAAAGTGGTTCAAAAAAAAGAAAAAAAAAAGAGAAAAAAAAAAGAAGAAGAAGAAGAAGAAGAAGAGAAGAGCCGACAAAGGGAAGTATCTGAAATCTTTGTCTTTATTTGTCTTGCTATTGTGCATAAAATCTTGGCATTGATCCTCACATTTTTCCTCCTAGGATAAAAAGTCCTAGTCTGATGGATTTTCCTCATAATATATATCTTAGTCTGAGGAATCTTTCTCCTAAGATAACAAAAAAGAGGACCTGGTCTGATGAACTTTTTCCTAGGATCAAAATCTTAGTCTGATTAATTTTTCTCCTAATATAGGAAACCTAGTCTGATGAATCTTTCTCCTAAGATACCAAAAAAGTGACCTAGTATGATGAACTTTCTCCTAGGATCAAAATCTTAGACTGATGAATTTTTCTCCTAAGATAGGAAACCTAGTCTGATGAACATTCTTATAGGATAAACGTCTTAGTATGATGAATCTTTCTCCTAAGATACCAAAAAAAAGTGACCTAGTCTGGTGAACTTTCTCGTATGATCAAAATCTTAGTCTGATAAATTTTTCTCCTAAGATAGGTGTGATGACCCGGCCACTCGTCTCATGAGTTACCGCTCCATTTTCCCCATTTATGCTTCATTATGCTTCGTTATTCGTATTTTATGTGATCAAATTGAGTAGTTTGCGTTCGGAGTGGTTTTTGTAAGAAATGAGCTAGTTAGTCTCTTTTAAGAAGGTTTAAGTTGGAAAAGTCAACCGAATGTTGACTAATGTGTTAGAGGGCTCGGATGTGAGTTCTGATAGTTCGGTTAGCTTCGGGAGATTATTTATGACTTAGGAGTGTGATCGGAATTGATTTTGGAGGTCCGGAGTAGAATTAGGCTTGAATTGGCGAAGTTAGTATTTTGGCGATTTCCGGTTGGTTGGCGAGATTTTGATACGATGGTCGAAATAGAATTCCGAGAGTTGTTGTAGCTTCATTCTGTTATTTGGGATGTGTGTGCAAAATTTCAGGTCATTCAGACGTGGCTTGGTTGAGTTTTTGATCGAAAACGGATTTTGGAAATTTTTAGAAAACTTAGGCTTGAATTCGATGTGAATTGATGGATTTGGCGTTACTTGAGGTGTTTTGATGATTGGAACAAGTTTGAATGAGGTATTGGGTTGTGTTGGTACTTTTGGTTGAGGTCCCGGGGGCCTCGGGGTGATTTCGGATGGCTAACGGGAAGTTTGGAACTTGAGGGATTGCAGATTTTTCTGCTGCTTCTGTTGTTTCTGCACCTGCGGTTTGGAGACCGCAGGTGCAGTATCGCAGATGCGTTGATTGGATCGCAGAAGCAGAAAGGCTGAGGAAGGCCTGGAACCGCAGATGTGGAAGGGGGACCGCACCTGAGGAGCCGCAGAAGCGGCGAGTGGACCGCAGATGCGGTGTTGGTCCATTAAGTGAAATTTCGCATATGCCGAGATATGACCGTAGAAGCGGTACCGCAGAAGCAGCTATTTGACCGCAGATGCAGTTATGTTTGGGAAAAAGGTATATATGTTTATTCTTCGTGATTTTTGAAGGGATTAACCATTTTTAACTTCGAACTTAGAGTTTTTGGGCGATTTTGAAGAGAGATTTCAAGGGAACTTCGATAAGGTATGGATTTTGGACTTAAAACACACTTCTATGGTGGTATTTCATGAATTGGGACTGAAATTTAAGGAATTAATGGACTAAAAATGGAGGTTTAGTGCTTGAGTTTAAGAGGGCTTAAATTAAGGATTTGAGGGGTCAATTGAACTCTGATTCTGGTGTTTTTGATATGTATGAACTCGGGGGAGATAAGGAATCTAATGATATGAAAATTTCTGAGTTTTGAGAAATGGGCCTGGGGCTCGGGTTTTCTAATTTCGGGATTTTTGATATTTTTTGATTGTTTTCACTTGGGCTTTGTTCCCTTAGCATATTGTGACGTATTCGTTCTGGTTTTGGACAGATTCAACGCACGAGGAGGCCGATTTGAGAGGCAAAGGCGTCACTAGCTAGAGATTTAGCCGGTTTGAGGTGAGTAATGAATGTAAATGATGTCCTGAGGGTTTGAAAACCAGGATTTGCACATCGTAGTGCTATATTGAGGTGAGACACGCGTTTGATGATGAGCGTGGGGTCGTTTACTATTGGGGATTGTGACTTGGTCCGTCCCGATTGATGATTTTACCGCGTATTTGATTGAAACTTATTTGTTATCATCATTATTTGGACTGATTGTCATATTTGGGCTTCGTGCCAACTATTTGAACCCTCCGGGGATTTTTATCACTATTTCCCCACTGTGTTGACTTACTACTTGAACTCAGTCGTACTGTTTTCCACTGTTTTACAACTCAACCACTTTTTACTAGGTTTTGGAACTAAAAAGATATTTTAAATGATGTTTTGGGCTAAGGACTACTGTTTTACTAATGCCCGAGGGGCTTAAGTGATTTCTAGACCGAGTATGGCCGAGGGCCAGATGTGAGGATACAATGATACTGATATGAGGGCCTGAGATACATACATACACCATGAGGTGGCTAATATTGATATGAGGTCGAGGGCCTAGATTTGATACCACGAGATGGCTTGATATTGCGTTTGGGCCGTAAGGGGCCCCTCTCGGAGTCTGCACACCCCCAGTGAGCATAGGTACCCAGTTATAATATGAGAGAGAGAGAGAGCCCAAGGGACTGGTATTGTTCTACATGTTTATTTTTCTTTAACTGTCTGTCTCTTACTGCTTATCTGTTGTAGAATTATCTTATTCCGCTTTTCATTGGTTTATCGCTTTTATACTACTTGTTTAACTGCCGCATTATAGATTACCCTATGTATACATGATTTCCTACTCTCAGTCATTATTTATGCTTATTACTTACTAGGTCGGAGTACTCACATTACTCCCTGCACCTTGCGTGCAGATCCAGGTGTTCCAGAGGCTGAGTAAGAGCTTTCTAGTCGATCAGCATTATCCCGGAGTATCGAGGTAGCTGCATGGTGTCTGCAGCCCTGATTTCTCCCTTCCTTTCTATTGTATTCCGCATTCCTAGACTATTTGTGTAGTAGGCTGTTGAACTTGTGTTAGAGGCTCGAGACTTGTGACACCAGATCGGTGTGGGCTATGTAGTAGTATTATCTTTTGACTTCCACATATTTAACTTGTTGTTTCAGAACCTTATTATGTTAATTTGACAATTAAATCGTGTTAGCTGATATTGGACTTTATAAGAAAATGGGTTGTGGTTGATAGTTGGTCAGGCTTGCCTAGCAATGTGTTGGGAGCCATCACGACTGAGGTTGGGGTCATGACAAGTTGGTATCAAAGCCTAGGTTACATAGGTCTTGCAAGTCAAGAGCCGGTTTAGTAGAGTCTCGCGGATCAGTACGGAGACGTCTGTATTTATCCTCGAGAGGTTGCAGAACCTTTAGGAAAAACTTCATATTCTTGAAATTCTTGTCGTGCGAACTTGTTGGCCGAGTACTAAACTTCTGTTATTCTATTCTCTCACAGATGGTGAGGACGCGAGCTACCGGATGAGGTGGACGACCACGAATGCCACCAGCTGAGACCACCAGAGGCCGTAGACGCGGTCATGGTCATGGTAGAGGCAGAGCAGCGAGGGAAACACCTGCAGATCTACTAGTTGCCCTAGATCCAGATCAAGCTCCAGATACGGATGCTCCAGCAGCACCAGTTCAGGCACCAGCTGTGCCCATCATGATTTCGGGTCTTCAGGAGGCCTTAGCACAGATCTTATCAGTTTGCACTGGCCTAGCTCAGGCAGTTTCAGCCACTACAGCAGTAGCTACTTCACAGGCCGGAGGAGGCAATCAGACTCCCACTGCTCGCACACCTGAGCAGGTAGTGCAGGGACTTCAGATGTCGGGGCCACCTTCAGCCCAGTCGGTTGCACCAGCTCAAGAGTTTGTGGTGCCAGTTATGCCAGATGATGAGCAGCGTCGTCTTGAGAGGTTGGCTAGACTCTAGCCTCCGTCATTCAGTGATGTTGTGGGCGAGGATGCCCAGGGTTTTCTTGATAAGTGTTAGCGGATGCTCCGTACAGTAGGGATTCTTGAGTCTAGTGGTGTGGCATTTACCACCTTTCAGTTCTCGGGGGCTACCTTCACTTGGTGGGAGGATTTTGAGAGGTGTAGGTCTGTAGGTGCAACACCCCTTTCTTGGCAGTAGTTCTCCGCTCTCTTCTTGGAGAAGTATGTACCGTAGTCCCACATAGAGGAGTTGTGTAGGCAGTTTGAGTGGTTGACGCAGGGGGATATGACTGTGTCCCAGTATGATATAAGGTTTTCTGAGTTGGCTCGCCATGCCATCTGGATGATTCCGTCGGATCGTGAGAGGATCAGGAGATTTGTGGATGGCCTTAACTACCATCTCCGTATTCTTATGACTAGAGAGAGAGTATTGGGTGCTACATTCGAGGAGGTGGTTGATATCATGCATGAGATTGAGATGGTTTGTCGTCGGAAGCGAGAGGAGAGGGAGGCCAAGAGGCCTCGGGGATTGGGCAGTTATAGTGGTGCTCCTTTGAGGGGCCAGTTCCAGTGGTAGAGGTCGGTCTTTCAAGACTGCTTAGTCAGCCCGTCTAGAGTATCGCGAGGCATCTTTAGGTCGTGGTCATCATGGGTCTCAGCAGGGCCAGCCTTCACTCAGCACCCTCCCAGCTCAGAGTTTTTCTCGTGCCCCGTCAGCTCAGGGTTCTTCTGCACTAAGTGCGTCTTCTAGTCACTCCAGTGTGAGGGGTTCCCATTAGTCCCCTTCTCCAGCACCTGGGAGTTGTTTTGAGTGCGGATTGTTTGGGCATATGTGGAGGCAGTGTCCTCGCCATGTTGCCAGCTCGTCTCAGTAGAAGGGTCAGCCCTCTATTTCTGCTCCAGTTACTTCACTACCCGCTCATCCAGCTAGGGGTGGAGGTCAGGCAGCCAAGGGTTGCCCCAGAGGGGGAGGTCGATCAAGCGGTGGCTAGGCTCATTTCTATGTTATTCTAAGCAAGACAGATGCCATTGCTTCAGATGCTGTTACTACAGGTATTGTTTCAGTCTGCCACAGAGATGCCTCTGTATTATTTAATCCTGGTTCCACCTATTCTTATGTGTCCTCGTATTTTGCTCATTATTTGGATACGTCCCGAGAGATTCTTGCTTTACTTGTTCATGTATCCACCCTGGTGGACGATACTATTGTTGTAGACCGTGTGTACCGGTCATGTGTGGTGACTATCGGGGGTCTGGAGACCCGAGTGGATCTATTTCTATTGAGCATGGTGGATTTTGATGTCATTTTGGGCATGTATTGGCTATCTCCGTGTCGTTCTATTCTAGACTGTCATGCTAAGATAGTCACTCTGGTTATGCCAGGTGTACCGCGGATCGAGTGGCGTGGTGTGACTGATTATGTTCCTAGTAGAGTGATCTCTTTCTTGAAGGCCCAGCGTATGGTTGGGAAGGGTTGTCTTTCATATCTAACATTTGTGAGGGATGTTGGAGTTGAGACTCCTAGTATTGATTATGTACCAGTTGTGAGGGATTTTCTCGATGTATTTCCTGCAGACCTACCGGGTATGCCACCGGAGAAGTATATTGATTTTGGTATTGACTTGGTGCCGGGCACTCAACCCATTTCTATTCCGCCGTATCGTATGGCACCAGCAGAGTTAAAAGAATTGAAGGAGCAGCTTTAGGAACTCCTGGATAAGGGGTTCATTCGGCTTAGTGTGTGACCTTGGGGTACGTCGGTTCTGTTTGTGAAGAAGAAGGATGACACAATGAGAATGTGCATCGATTATAGGCAACTGAACAAGGTAACAATTAAGAACAAGTATCCTTTGCCTCGCATTGATGATTTATTTGACCAGCTTCAGGAGCGAGGGTTTTCTCCAAGATTGATCTCCGTTCGGGTTATCACCAGTTGAAGATCAGGGATTCAGATATTCTTAAGACTGCTTTTAGGACCAGATATGGTCATTATGAGTTTCTTTTTATGTCTTTCGGGCTGACCAATGCCCCAGCATAGTATTCATTGATGATATTCTAGTGTACTCGCGTAGTCAGGAGAAGCACGCGGAATATTTGCGAGTTGTATTGTAGTGGTTGAGGGAGGAGAAGCTTTATGCAAAATTCTCCAAGTGTGAGTTTTGGCTCAGTTCACTGGCTTTCTTGGGGCACGTGGTGTCCAGCGAGGGTATTCAGGTTGATCCAAAGAAGATAGAGGCGGTTCGGAGTTAGCCTAGACCGTCCTCAGCCACAGAGATTCATAACTTTGTTGGGTTGGCAGGCTATTATCGCCGGTTTGTTCAAGGATTCTTATCTATCGCATCGCCCTTGACCAAGTTGAGTGTTCCATTTGCATGGTTGAATGAGTGTGAGGAGAGCTTTTAGAAGCTCAAGACAGCCTTGACCACAGCTCCAGTATTGGTTTTGCTATCAGCTTCAAGTTCATATACTGTGTATTGTGATGCTTCGAGAGTTGGGATTGGTTGTGTATTGATGCAGGAGGATAGAGTTATTGCTTATGCTTCTCGTCAGTTGAAGCCCCATGAGAAGAACTACCTCGTTCATGATTTGGAGTTGGTTGCCATAGTTCATGCATTGAAGATTTGGAGGCATTACTTGTATGGCATATCTTGTGAGGTATTCACTGATCACCGCAGTCTTCAGCATTTGTTCAAGCAAAAGGATCTTAATTTGAGGCAGCAAATATGGTTAAGGTGCTTAAGGATTATGATATTACCATATTGTATCATCCGGGGAAGGCCAATGTGGTGGCCGATGCTTTGAGCTGAAAGGCAGTGAGTATGGGGAGTTTGGCATATATTCCAGTTGGGGAGAGACCCCCTGCAGTTGATGTTCAGGCCTTGGCCAATCAGTTTGTGAGATTGGATATTTCGGAGCCCAGTCGGGTGTTGGCTTGTGTGGTTTCTCGGTCTTCCTTATATGATC